TGTCTTCTCCCTGCATTTCCTCATGTGGTGCGCTTGACACATGGACCATGCATCCCTTCTCAACACTCCTTCCCTTAGCCTCTGTGCATTTCTCTTCCTCCTCCTTGTCATTCCTTCTTGGTTGCCTTTCTGGGCCCCTTTTACCCCATAGGGCTTCCCTGGTGGCTCAGATGGTAAAGAATCTGCCTGCAATGCAGGAGACCAAGGTTCGATGCCTGGGTCAGGAAGATCCCCTGGAGAAGGGAATGGCAGTCCACTCCAGTACTCTTGCCTGGAGAATCCCATGGACAGAGGAGCCTGGTGGGCTACAGTGCGTGGGGTCGCAAAGAGTTGGACGCGACTGAGTGACTAACAATTTACCCCATACAGCCCTTCAATAAAGGGTCTCTCTGGGGCTTAGTCCTGGGCCCACAGCTCTGCTTACAGTTCATGATTCTTATCAAGGTGGGATTGAGGGATTTTCCTGGTGGATACAGTGAATAAGAATCCACCTGCCAATGCAGGGGATACGGGTTTGATCTCTGGTCCGAGAAGATTTCACTTGCAGTGGGGCGACTAAGCACCTGTGCCACAACTACTGAGCTCGGGTGTTGCAACTACTGAAGCCCGTGCATCCAGAGCCCATGCCATCAAGAGACGCCACCAAGGTGAGGGGCCTGGGCACTGCAACGGAGAGTAGCCCCTACTCTCTGCAGCTAAAGAGGGCCCGTGCACCAGACCCAGCGCAGCCAAAAATAAAGTAATCAATTAATCTAAAAATAAAGGTGGGATCAGATAAATCTCTCCAGGGAGTCCTCTCTCCTGAGCACCCTATTCATGGATCCCACTGGGGTCGAGTGTCACAGTCACAATACCGAGGAGCCAAATGGAACTCAGTTTCCCCGAAGGCTCTTCTCCCAGTACGTTCCATCCTGTTGATGATGCGTCATCTTCCTAATCACAACAGCTGGAAATCTGAGAGTCATCCTTGAAAATTCCCTAACAGTAGCTACCATTACTGATCACCTGCTGTATACCAGGGTTATGATTCAACCACCCAGGGTCCAAATTCCAGATTCCAACTTGCTAATCACATGACCCTAGATGTGTTCATCTCTGCATTTGTAGAGTGGGGATGACAACTCCAACCTCAAAGCATTGGCTGGGTATGGGTAATAAACAAGGCCTGTGAAGCAGTGGGCACAGAGCTGGGCACCCAGTAGTCAGTGCTACCTGCAGTGGACATCTGCACCTGCTCTTCTCAGCATCTCCTAGTGGGTACACCCAGCTTCCGAGGTGGCCCTGCATGGCTAAGCCAATGCGTACATCCATGGCCTGGTCAGGGCAATAGCTTCAGGGATGGACAAGTAGCCCAATTCAGGCTCAGTGATACAGAATAAAATGCTGGAAGCTCTTAGAAAAGAAGTTCTTGGGGGTACTTCCCTAAAGGTCCAGTGGCTGAGACTCCACACTCCCAACACAGGAGGTCCAGGTTCGATCCCTGGTCAAGGAACCACATGCCACAACTAAATCCCATGTGCCCCAACAGAGAATCCACACGCTACAACTAAAGATCACACACGCCAAATGAAGATCGAAGATTCTGCATGCCACAACTAAGACCTGGTGAGATCAAATAAATAAATATTAACAAAAAGAGTTCTTGGGGATTCCCTGACAGTCCAGTGGTTAGGACTCCCTGCTTTCACTGCCGAGGGCCTGGGTTCAATTCCTGGTCAGAGAACTAAGATCCTGCAAACTGCACGGAGCAGCCAAAAAAAAAAAAAAAAATTCTTTTCTTTAAGAAGAATAAAAAAGAGCCTCTTTTTCACCCACTACCAGAAATAATACAGGGGTGTGTGTGGAGTATATAGCTTATAGCACTGGCTGCTATATGGAGCCTCTGCTAAAACCCATAGCCAGGGACTTCCCTGGTGGTCCATTGGCTGAGACTTTGCACACCCAATCCAGGCGTCCCAGGGTTGATCCCTGGTCAGGGAAGTAGATCCCACATGCTGCAACTAAGACCTGGTACAGCCAAATTAAGAAGAAACAACAACAACAACAACAACAACAACCCACAGCCAGGATTCCTCAACTATGTGTGCCAGTAAATTCCCTTTTGTTAAAGATACGTTGGGGCTTCCCTGGTGGTCCTGTGGTTAAGAAACTGCCTTGCAAGGGACACCGGTTCAGTCCCAGGTCCATGAAGATCCCACATGCCTGGAGGAACGAAGCCCGGGCTCCACAAGTACTGAGTTGCAACTCCTGAAGCCCTCACCCTAGCGCCTCTGATCCACGACAGCAGCCACCTGCCCCCGGGCCTCTGCTGTGTCCACACCAGGCCCTTTGGGTATATGGTCGCTCCCGTAATCCGAACAGTATTTGGGCAGGGTTTCCTCCCACATTCCTGTCTATGAGATCGGAGGTGGGGGAGCCTAGGATTTCGGGACTTTAAGGGTAGAATTGCTGAAAGGCTGGGAACCGCTTCCAGCCGGATTAAGGACCAGGGCTCTACCAGCCTTCTCGTGGCGCAGCGCTGCCCCCTAGTGGGAGAGCCAGCACCCGCCTCGCTTGCTCCCCTCTTTCCTTCCTCTTCCTTCTCGCTGGACACCACCCAGGATGTGAGCCAGATGATACAAATACAGGCCACAGAATGGAAAAGCACATGTATAAAAATTAGAGTTGTGGGAAATGATAAAAGAAAATCAACCTCAGGAAGTAACACAACATAATGAAGGCGATGCTGGGGGCATGTCAGCGTGCTGAAGGCACAGCGGGGTAGGAGGTGGGGGGTGGGAGGAAGAGAACCTTCTCTCCCCTTTTACAGAGGAAGTGAAGTTTCCAGAGCTTGTGCCGGAGGTGCTGGAGCTCCGAGAGAAACATGAACAGAGGACATACCTCTGGAGCATCTCTCCTGTTTACGCAGAGGGGCTGGGCCTCACTTTTGGGTCTCCAGTGGTTGGCCCCGGGCCTGGCCACACTCACTCAGTCCTCGATGAATTGTACTGACCTGGGCACACAGTAAGTCACCCTTCCTTGGGTGACTGGTCTCCCTGGCCTCTAACGTGTGGTAGTAATAATAGTAGTAGACGTTGGGAGGCGGTACCCTGACCCAGAAGTCGGCAAATGCGAAGTTGTCACTACGTTCTGAAGATTTGGAGATGGGGTCCTCAGATATGCGCAGGAATTTGATATATGATAAACGTGGCATTGAGGGAAAGAAGGATTGTTTCATAAATATCAGATAGTTGTTTCGAAAAAAGATTAATTACAATCCCTCACTCCTTAAAACAATATGAATTCACCACAGACATAAGATTTTTAACAAGTACAATTTGGCCAGTCTTTTCTGTCTCTGAGTGGCTGTACAGTTGGGGGGGAGGGTGTCAGTGGAGGGGGAAAGTTAAGCTGAATAAACTCTCAGGTCTAACATCTATGACAGCTGCCATTGATTCATTTCACCCTGACTCTCAGCCCTATAACCCTCAGCCCTCCACACCCACCTGCTTCCTGTAATACTTTGCCCTTGACTGGAATAATCTTAGCTCCCATCTCTTCAACTCTAGCTGCCCCACCATGCCTGGATTTTCTCCTGGGACTCCCAGTGGGCGGGTGTGGGAGCCCTGCAGGTCCTAGCACCCCCAAGAGTCCACCTTGGCTCCCAGGCTGTACCAAGAACTTCGGCTTCAGTTCCTTTCCTGAGCTGTGGAGGTTATTTACCTTGGACTTGAGCACAGCTGTGCTGTTTTGGTTTCCTCGTTCTATATTTTAAGGTTTGGTGCTTTGTGATTACAGCTGGGAAGATATGTCAGAGAGGGTACCCATCCTGACTTCAGTGGGCAATCATGCTTTCTTTCCGAGTCCCTTTCCTTCCCATCTCGGATGAGAAAGCCTTGCGAGGCTTTGGCAGACTCGGCAGGATACCAGAGCCCAACGGGTCATGTCGATGAATGGACACCCATGGAGAAGATGACAGGGAGCAGCGGGGATCAGGGTGAGGGGGGAGCTCAAACTCTTAGTCCAGTGCTTCCAGGTCTTCTAAACATTTAAGCCGAACTGGAAACCTGTCTTTTATATTTGTTTGTATCTTACAAAGCTTGATGTGAAGCAAGAACACGTCTTGGTCCAGCCCAGTACGGGGACTTCCAGTTTGCCCCTTGAGGAGGTGGAAGCTACATTTTTGTTTAATCGCTAAGTCATGAAGCTGTAGTTGTGGAAGTTATAGTCAGCCTGAATGGTGCCTCATCTGTAAAATGGGTACACTGAGAGAATTCCCTTGTGATCCAGTGGTTAAGAATCTGCCTTCCAACACAAGAGGCACAGGTTCCATCCCTGGTTGAGGAACTAAGATCCTACCTGCTGCAGGGCAACTCGAGTCACATCACCCCAAGTGATGAAAGATCCCATACGACGCAACTAAGACCCAAGGCAGTCAAACAAATAAATATTTTTAAAATTGTGGTATATTCATATAATGGAATATTATCCAGCAGTAAAATGGAATAAACTGATATGACAACATGGATTAAACTTAAAATAATTTTTTAAAAAATGGGTACACTAGTGCACAGCCCTGACAGGCTATAGTAGTCAATCCATGGGGATGAAGGATGTAAAGGGAAACCACCTACCATTCCCCAAGCAATTGCTCTGGCCTGGTCACTGTACCCAGTCTCCCTGTCTTTCTCCTAAGTCCAGAAACTCCCCGAGGTGCACAAGTGGAAAGTGGGGATCTGGGATCTGGGCTCTGAGCCCACACATCTGCCCTCAGCCCCTTCCTGTTGCCTGCCAAAGAGAGGTATTCAGTGAACAAGTTTACAGTCCCTTTGCCCATTTCAACACCACCTGGCACAATGTGGGCAGCAAAGATTTCACAGGAGAGTGGGGGAAACACCTGTCCAAGGATATCAGGTTCTAGTCTGGTAAATATAGAATCGATGACATCTGAAGATAGCAAGCCCCATGAGGATAGAGTTGGCTCTCAGAGAATGATTTCCAGATCCCCGGCCACTTGTATCATGGAGTCCTCATTGATCCGGTTATATCCACCGTCTCCATCATCCCGGGTAATAAGAGCATCTACATTTTCACTACACCCTGGGTCTCCCTGGGTAGGCTGGGGCGGGGGGTGGTGTTGGTGGGCTGGGTTGAGCTTTCTGTCTTGTTGTTCAGTCGCTAAGACACATCCAGCTCTCTGTGACCCCAAAGACTGTAGCATGCCAGGATTCCCTGTCCTTCACTATCTCTTTGATCTGAAGAGCAAGAAGAGTCTGGGGGAGCTGATCTGAAGGGAAGATGCCTAAGGGGGCTTCCTCTTTCCCTCCTAAAAATAATGTTCTCTAGAACAGGAGGGTCAGGGGAGACATAAAAGTTCCCTTGGTCTTCCAGCTGGGAATGTCACCAATTAGACTTATGTGGGTCACAAAATTATTTCCTTAAAGAGCAAAGTAGGGCAGCCTTGAAGAGTTGGAAGAATACACATTTTGGAGTCAGACAGACCTGGGCTCCGCTGTGAGCCTCTCAGCTGCCTGGCTCCGTGTCTTAGGGAAATGCCTGAACATTTCTCTGCTTTGCTTATCATCACCAGGACAGTCATGCTGAGTCAGCATGGACGTTCGGATTAGACACAACATTTGTAAAGTACTGAGCCAGGTGTCCTGGCACACAACAGGTGCTTCATAAAGGCACATATAGGATCTGCTGCCATTTCAGTTTTTCCCACACCAATCCAGCCCTCGCGGAATGATGCCTAAGATCCCAGATGCCACACACATTATTATGCCTAAATCTTAGCCTCCTCAAGGCCCCTATTTGGGTCCCTCCCTTTCCTAGATGTTCCAGGGGTCCATGGTCTCCCCAGTATTGATGGGGCTCCCTCTGTCATGGGAGATCTTCTTTTACCTGAGTGGAGACTCTAGACCCCAGAAAACTGCCTTCTTTTAGAAACACAGAAAGCCTGGATGATGCTCTTGAATAGGTTGGAGCAGGGGAAGGACCAGGGCATTACTCAGTCAGGACCCCAAAGCCGTGGTTGACTCTCTGTCTCACTCCCCCATCAGCGAACTGTGGCCCTACCTCCCAATACCTCCTGGATCCGGCCACTCCCCCCCACACTGCTGCCCCCTGGTCTAAGCTCCTGTCCTCTCTCCCCTGGGGTTTTGCAGCAGCCTCTTGACCAGTCACCCTGCTTTAGCCCTTTAGCCTTCCATTAGTCTCCAGTCAGGCTGATCCTATGAAAATGGAAGTCAGGGACCCCTTTCACAAAGATGACACCAAAAGTGAAGAAGAAAGCCCCTGCTCTCCCAGAGCTGACGTCAAAATAGACTTTGAAGGTCAGGAAGGCAGTGCTGAAATGCATCCAAAGACACACACACACAAGAGAAGACCCACATATCACCCACCTTCCAGAGGACCAAGACACCATGGCTCCAATGGCAGCCTAAATATTCTCAGAAGTGCACCCCCAGGAGAACCAAGCTTGACCACTATGCCAGCACCACGTTCCCCAGGCCACTGGATCTGCCGTGAAAGAGATAGAAGACAGCAACACACTCATGTTCTTTGTGGAGGTCAAGGCCATCAACACAGGTATCAAACAGGCTGGGAAGATGCTTTTATGACATCACCTAGACAGGCCAACACCCTGATGGGGTCTGATGGAGAGAAGAAGTCATATAGGTTTGACTGGCCCCGTAATGCTTTGGGTGGTGCCAACAAATTGTATCATCTATAAACTAAGTCCAGTTGGCTAATTCTAAGTACAACTTTTTTTTTTAACCACAGACAAACTAATGGATGTCAGATCCCATCACTACTTTACTCCAAATCCTCTGGTGGCTTCTGTCTCAGATGGTCTCCTCTCCCCCGCCCCTGATAAGGACCTCCTGTCTTGCCTCTTCTCCATCTCTTGCTCACTCTATTCCCCCAGGCCCTGGCCTCCTCCCTGCCTGCTCCTAGGATAGACTAAGGGCCCACCTGAGGGCTAATACCTGGAATGCCCTTCCTGCAGATCCTACTCAGGTCCTCTTATCAGACAGGCTTTCCAGCAACATTCCAGGTATAAAAGCAGCTCCTTTCTCTCCATCCTCCTGCATTATTTTTCCTCCCAATTCTTATCACTTCCTTTTACATCTGTCCCCATGGGAAGATAAGGACTTGATCTCATCTCATCTGCCATTCCTGTGGCAGTGCATGGCACATTATTGTTGTTTATTCACTCAGTATGTCTGACTCTTTTCAACCCCATGGACTGCAGTACACCAGGCTTCCCTGTCCTTCACTATCTCCTGGAGTTTACTCAAACTCATGTCCATTGAGTCAGTGATGCCATCCAACCATCTCATCCTCTGTTGCCTCTTCTCCTCCTGACCTCAATCTTTCCCAGCATCAGGGTCTTTTCCAGTGAGTCAGCTCTTTGCATGAGGTGGTCAAAGTACTGGAGCTTCAGCTTCAGCACCCATCCTTCCAATGAATATTCAGGGTTGATTTTCTTTAGGATTGACATTAGAGACCCCAAACAAAGATTTGTGAAAGAATAATTGGATGGGTGGGCAACTGCTCTGTGGGTGCCCACCCCTTCCTGCTAGATGGCTGACAGATTCCATAGGGACATGGCTCCTGCCCTCAAATCTGATGACAGACAAAAAGTAATGAAGAAATTAAAAAACAGTGCCTAGCAAATAACAGGTTCCAATAAACATGTTTCTGGACTTGCCTGGTGGTCCAGTGGCTAAGATTCTGCACTCCCAATGCAGGGGGCTCAGGTTCCATTCCTGGTCAGGGAATTAGATCCCACAAGTCATAACTAAGAGTTCGCATGCCACAACAAAGATCCTGAGAGTCCCAACTAAGACCCAGATTAGTCAAATAAATATTAAAAAAAAAAAACAACCCTAAACAACACATTTCCTTGAAAGAGTGAAGCCCTAACTGGGATGTGCAAACAGTTCTGTGGGACCCAAAAGAGACACCTAGGTGTGTTGGATGAGGGGCGCGGAATGAGCTGGAGACGACTTCTAGAGGGGATGTTTGAGGAGGACCTTGAACAGTAGGTCTTTGACAGTCGAGCGGTAACAGCATGGAAGTATAAAATGAGAGCAATCTGGAAGAGCTTTAAAAGCCACGATAGGGAACATTGTTAGTGCTAAACCTCCCCAGGACCCTCCACGGCTTCAGCCGGAGATCAGCAAACAGTGTTGAGGCCTGACAGGTTACAGAGCTGAAAGCAGGTTGGGGGACCACCCCGCACAACGGCTGATCCCCGCTTTCCCCCTCTCTCCCACCAGATCACTTGTCCGCCGCCCTCTGGGGCCCTCTGGGCGGGGTCCAAATGGCCTGGCCAGGCCCATCCGTAGGTGACGTCACGTACAGAGGCGGGACTCAGGACTGTAGGGCGGGGCCCCGCGAGGGGGCGGGGCCCGACGTGGCTCCTGGCTCCACCCCGAGAGAGGCCTAGGCAGGGGAGACCGGAAGTCCTCCCGCCACCGTCGGCCTTCTGGATCCCTTTGGTTCCTCCTCTCAGCTGCGGGCGCTAGGTCGTGGCCCGGAAGTAAAGGGGCCATGTTGGTGGGTGACCCCAGGAGAGGTACCGGGCGAGAGGCAAATCTCGAGTAGAGGAAGTGCGCGCGGTCCTCAGGTGAGTGAGGGGAGGAGTGAAGGCCGGGGTTGGGGGTTCGCCACGCCTTCTCTCAGGGTCGCTGTTTGAGTTCCCAGCCCGGCCGGGGCCCACACTATCGGCCTGACCACCGGGGGTCTCACCCCAGCCTGCCCTGGGTTTCCTCCTGGAGGCCGCTCCGGGGCCCCGCCCCAACCTCCGGAGCTGTCCCGGGGCCCCAGAGCCGACCTGCCCCAGCCTCAGGGTCTCTCCACCCCGGTTCGGTGCGATCCTCCCCAGGTAGGGGGAGGACCTGGGGACCCTCCAGGGCCCAGCCGCCCATTCGCCGGTCGACCTTGTAACAGCTCTTGCATGCCAGTCGCCTCCTACTTCGTAAAACACTTTTCTGTTGATTTCTGGATTCATCTGTCCCACTCAGGGAGACCCTTAGCGCCGAGGGGCGCTCTTCTGCAGTTGAGGGTAAAGGGACGGGGACGGTGGCTTGCTCACGCTCGCGCAGCAAGGCCGGAAGCTGACGGTAGCTGACTTTGGGCCCAAAGTCCAGACCTTTTTACCAGTCAGCTACCTCTCCCATTCAGTCTCATTTCTTTATTTCAGAAAGAGGGTGATCATTTTTTCCACACAGGGACGTTGTGAGCCTCCTTCGTTTATTTTTTGAGCCCTCGGTATGTGCCGGGCGCTGAACTGGGAAAGTTTGTACAGCACCTAGAAGTGCTGTATGCGTGGTACGATCCCAGCAAACGGTAGTTTTCATTCCGCAGGCAGGCAGAGTGGGGTCGGAAGTGCATCCCCCTTTACAGCCCTGCCTGTGGGTGAGTTACTTCTCTCTGGGAGCATCAGTTTCCTCCACTTAAAATGGGGAGACTGGTGACACTAGAATTGTTGATGGAATGAGATGTCACGTGGGACCTGCTTGGCCAGTAAACACTCAATAAACATTAACCATTGTTGTTATGAACCCTGTCCACTTCATAAGTTCCTCAGTTTAAATGTGATAATGGATGACAAAGCACTTTACAAATGGTATCACTCTGTGGTTCTGTAAGGGTTTATTGTTACTGAAGGTAGATGATGGTAGTTTATGTGTAACTAAATCTGATACTTATTGAGCACTTACAAACACACAAGGGGAGATAGCATTAATCATAGCTGCCCCAATAGATGGCTTGGCATATGCTGAGTGCTATTCTAACCACGTTTAATCCTCATACTAACTATATGGAAAATACAGTTTTAATCCTCATTTTACAAATGAGGAGCTAAGGTAAGCCCAGAGAGGTTAAGAAACTTGCCCAGGGTAATCAGCTTTCTAAGTGTTGGTGCTAGGATTCAAGTATGACTGAGGCCCCTTGTGGTGAAGTTATATTACGCGTGCTTCTTCCCTGGTGGTTCAGATGGTAAAGAATCTGCCTGCACTACAGGATACCGGGGTTCAACCCCTGGGTCGGGAAGATCCCCTGGAGGAAGAAATGGCAACCCACTCCAGTTGCCTAGAGAATGCCATGGACAGAGGAGCCTGGCAGGCTACAGTCCATGGGGTCACAATGAGATGGACATGACTGAGCAACTAATACTTTCTTTCACTTTACATGGGATATCTCAGGCAAGTTTCAAAATAACCCTGTGGGGTAAGTACTATTAGCCTAAAACTACATAGCAGTATATAAATGTAGATAGCATTATCTCTATTTTACAAGAGAGGAACCTGATGCTCAGAGAGGTTATGTACTTTGCCCAAAATCATATGGCAGGTAAGTGGCAGAGCCCAGATTCAAGCCCAGGTAGTCCAGCGTCCAGTCCCTGACCTTTCAGCGTAACTGGTAGTTTCCCAGGAGGAGTCTGTAGGCTGGGATCTAGTCCTGGCCCTGCCACTAAGTCACAGTGTGACCTTGAGGGGGTCTCTGAGACCTGGATTAAGAACTACAGAATTACTGGTGACTCAGATGATAAAGAATCTGCCTGGAACACGGGAGACCTGGGTTCAATCCCTGGGTCAGGAATACCCGCGCCAGTATTCTTGCCTGGAGAATCCCATGGACAGAGGAGCCTGGCAGGCTACAGGCTATGGGTTTGCAGAAGCAGACACGACTGAGCAACTAACACTTTCATATTTCACTTTCATAGGCCCTTCTGGGCTTTCCTGGTGGCTCAGCGGTAAAGAATCCACCTGCCAATGCAGGAAATGTGGGTTCGATCCCTGGGTGGGGAAGATCCCCTTGGAGAAGGAAATGGCAACCCACTGCAGTTTTCTTGCTTGGAGAATCCCATGGACTGAGGAGCCTGGCAGGCTACAGCCCAAAGGGTCACAAAGAGTCGGACACAACTGAGCAACTGAACAACAGTGTAGTCCCTTTCTATCATTAATTCTGATTCCAGGCTTCTCTTTTTTCCCTGTGTATAGCTTGACGCCCAGCCCCTGTCAGTCTCCCATGGCCTCATGGAGCCGAGAGGCGGTGCTGAGTCTCTACCGGGCTCTGCTTCGCCAAGGCCGACAGCTTCGCTACACTGATCGAGACTTCTACCTTGCCTCCATCCGCCGTGAGTTCCGGAAAAATCAGAAACTGGAGGATCCTGAGGCCCGGGAGAAGCAGCTGGAAAAGGGCCTGGTCTTCCTCCACAGCAAGCTAGGAGGGATCATTTAGGATCCTCTCCTTTCCCCTCCCATCCTAATTTCAAGCGAAAGTGGACACAGGTGCCTTCCAGAGACACGCCTGCCTCTCTGCAACCTCCACCTCACAGATGCATTAAGAAGCCTCAGGTAGGTAGGCCTGTGTTCCTGTAGGTTTCATTTTTTCTGATACAAGGGATGAGGAAAGGAAGAATTTTTCCTTTTAGTGGCCAAAGTTCTTTAGGCATACTGAAGGAAATACCAACATAAATAACAGATTGTTCCCTTACAAAATGTTCCCAGTTAAAAAGGCCCTAGTCTTACTAGGAGACCATTTTTCTTTATAGGACATTTAATGTATGAAAATGCTAGAAAAATTACTGGTTAAAACTTAGATCTTGTTCCATCTGGCTCATTCTTCAGTGGATTCAGTTCTCTTGAGGGTTAGATCATGTTCCCCCTAACATAACTATGTGGTTTAGTCACTAAATCCAGTCCTACTCTTTGTGACCCCATGGACTGTAGTCCACCAGACTCCTCTGTTCATGGAATTCTCCAGGCAAGAATACTGGAGTGGGTTGCCATTTCTTTCTCCAGGGGATCTTCCCAACCTGAGGATTGAACCCAGGTCTCCCATACTACAGGCAGATTCTTTACCAACTGAGCCACCCGGGAAGCTGTAAACATAACTATACTCTGTTTCAAAAGTCTCTAAAGCAAGCATAGTGTCCAGACCTCAGAGGACTGCCTTCCTGGCATTGCTGCTAACAACTGTGGGATTTAGGGCAAATCACTCAATCTGTCTAGGCCTCCATTTCCTCATTTGTAGATGAAATGGCATCCCACTCCAGTATTCTTGCCTAGAAAATTCCATGGACAGAGGAGCTTGGCAGGCTACAGTGGGGTTGCAAAGAGGACACGACTGAGCACCACCACCAAAATAGTACCTACTTCTTCAGTTTATTGTAAGAATTAATGAGAAATTGCACACAGAGTACTTTAATAGTTCTTGGCCACTGGTATGTGAGCTGTGTTTCCTCTCATGCCAGTGTTAGCAGCAAGTTCCACTGTAACCTGATGATTGTATTTAATTCAGCAACTTTCCCAAAGGGCCTGCCCTGGCATCATGGTAGGCTCTGAGGTGGAGATGAACGGTGTGGCCCATCTAGGGACAGGTCTGATGTGGCGATTCGCAGGAGGTAGCTCTGGACTAGAGGTGGGTCAAGAGCTTATAGACGGGAAAGGGGCCAAAACGACCTGGAGAGCGGGGCGGCCTGGAGGGAGGGGGGGAATCACAGATAGGTATAGAAAAGAGGACATTGGAGGTCTGCCTCAAACAAAAAGTAGAAGTTCATCGTGCAGATAGGCAAGAATGAGCAAGTGAGGAGGTGAAGACCACATTTTGTAGTCTGGAAACTTGAGTCTGGAGTAGCTCGAATTGTGTACCTGTAAGGCAGGTGACTGGAGTTGAGACTGAGCCAGATCTGGAAGGACATTGAATCTCCTGTTGAGGAAGTCGTGATATCTGATGGGCGGTGGTGGGCACCACAGCTTTGTCAGCTGGGGAGTGGTGTGCATGAGGGGTCAGGGCAGTGGCAGCATGCAGAATAAATCGGTGAGAGGCCCCAAAGCGGGTGAATCTGAGCAGATGAGTGGAGGGACTGAGGCAGTGGGGCGGCTGCATGTAGGTGCAATGTGGGCAGCAGGGGACTTTACCAAGTGGGGGCTGGTGCAACAGGAGGAGAGAGAGTGAAGGATGACTTTGAGGTGGAAGGCATGCCAGCTGGGTGGAGGGTACTGTTTTCAACAGAGGGAAGGCAGGAGGAGCCTTGTGTAATGGTTTTGGGTTCTCCTCAGCCAGTGGGTTGATTGGCAGACCTGCCTTTGGGAGTAAAGGGCAGGTGGGATGTGATGCCCACGAGGGCCTGCCTGCATAGGGGAAGCAGAAGTGAGTACTGAAGATTTTGTGTTCAGAGTCTATTTTGAGTGTGAATCGGGTTACAGGTTGCTGCCACTCAGTTCAGTTCAGTTCAGTCACTCAGTCGTGTCTGACTCTTTGCGACCCCATGAACCGCAGCACGCCAGGCCTCCCTGTCCATCACCAACTCCCGGAGTCTACTCAAACCCATGCCTATCGAGTCAGTGCCACTACCTCCTCCAAAAAACAAAAAAAAAAGCCATAGAATTAGTAGCTCATTGGTGGAACAGATGCGTCAAGTCCGGTCTGTCAAGTCCTGCTGGCCCTGGGGGCAGTGAATGAGCCAGAATGCCCCTGGGGCATAATGGTCTAGCGCTGTGTGGAGAGCAGATGGGTACAAGGTGGGGCTGCAGGCTGTTTGGGACTCTGGTAACCTGCACCCCAGTACCATGAGCTCTAGGTTCAACTCGCGACTGCACAACTTACTCACATGGTGACCTTGGGTCAGTTACCTGACCTCTGCCTCAGTTTCTTCATCTGACAGTAGGAGATAACAATGTGACTGACCTCATGGGATTGTCATGAAGAGTAAGAGAGCAAAGAGGGGGAAAAATGCCCAGCACATGATACATGCTCAATGTGTGTTAATTCTTATCATGCATACTTAAGCCAGGTAATGTTTAGTTTGAATCATATAACCTTTTCAAGTAAAAGAAGTTGGAATGTTCAGAGTTCTGTGCTGTCATCCTAGGAAGTCACAGGGCCACTGTTACTCATCACCCCCACTGCCAGTACACAGGGTGGTAGTATGTCCATTCCCATTCTTGTATCTGAGGAGACAGGTTAAACACCTTGTCTGAAATGTTAACAGAGTTCACATTCTTCATCCTCAGCCCTGCCCGCCAGGACAGTGGTTCCTCCTCTTTTTAAAAATACTTTTAACTATTTGTACTTGCACAGTTGGCGTGGTGTTAAGAATATTCATCTTGTGATATAACAGATCTCCAGAGCTTTTTCATCTTGTAAAACTGAAACTAAACCCCAGGGCTCCTTCCTAATTGCGCAAGACCCAGGCTCCTTCCCCCTTGTTAGGCAGAGCTCCTACCCCTCACCTGCTCCCAGCTAGTAGAGCACGGCCTGAGTGGAGGGTATACTGTGGATAAGCAGTTTCAACTGGAACAGGTTGAGTTCAGTTTTAGAATAGAAACTCTAATCTCCTTGGGGGGAGCTTGTGGGTGTTCGCTCTTCTTGCTGGTCGCTAGGTTGTCAGCATCACCTGGTCCTTGGATGGGGCAGGGAATACACTGCACTGGTGTAGAAAAGCCTTTTCCCAAGTCTGCTCAACGTAATATTTTTGGTCTCAATCCCAGGATGGCATCAGTGTGGGTTTCAGAGACCGTTCCTGGCTCCATCTCAGAAGGTGAAATGGACCTCACAGGACAGACTGGATTGCTGAGTGCCTTCTGAAACGTGACCTTTGTCCTGTGGATGGAAATTGTAAAAAACTTAATGATAGCCCACATTTGTAGAGTCCTTTTACAGTTTATAAAATGTTCACATACAGTATTTTAGTAGCTATGTTGTCCTCACTACAACCCTGTGATTTAGGCCATGCAGGCGTCATTATCCCCTTTACATAGCTGAGGGGTTGAGTAACTAATTTGCGGTCACCCAGCTAATTAGTCAGGGCTCAATGGCAGGTTCTCAAGATTTCTGACTCTAAAATCCAGCCTCTTCTGTCGTGCCACCTCACTGCCTCGTTCTCACCAGCCATCAGAGGGTCAAGGACTAAATGGCCCAGAGAGGCTCCTTCCAGCTGCTGCGCAGAGGGGAGCTGGGCCCCTCTTGCTCTGCTGTATCACATGCAAGGATCATTTAGGAGATGGTTCTCCCTATTGTAAATATATCCCTAAAGAGCCTTTTGTTTTAAAAGAAATAAAACAGTGGTTGGAATAGAAAATGGTAACCTGCTCTATTATTCTTGGCCAAGAGAATTCCATGGACAGAGGAACCTGGCAGGCTACAGTCCATGGGGTCGCAGAGTCAGACATGACTGAGCACACACACAAAACAGTGGTCATCATTATGTATGGGGAACTGTACCTGTCAACTTTGTCCTGATTGTATTTGCCTTGGGGACATTTATGTCCCATCTCTCTTGGTGGCTGCTGGAGGGACAATGACGCTAGAGTTCTTGCGTGACCCCACCTGCAAATACAGAGCTTCTCTCTTCTCAGCCTTGCTTGCTCTGAGCATTTGAAGTGGGAGTATATTTAATTTGGCCAAGTAGTGTCTCATTCTGTCCCTGAACCTGAAGCATCTACTAACTGCAAAAGGTGGAGAAGAGAATAGAAAAGTGGCAACTAAATTCTAGTTAGAAAAAAGTAATACTTGACTGCAACTCTTGCTGAAATAGAGTCAGAAATATTCCTTTCTTGTTGATGAGGGAGGCACGAAGCATGAGATGTGAGATGGTAGTACTCGGCTGTAAGGGTATTAAAAAGAAGTTCCTTCACACTGGACAGTGCACCAGGGACCTTGTCTCTCTCTCCTCCCATTGTGGGTATGCGGGTCAATGATACACAACTGTTTATAGGTAGTTCTGGGATGCAGGACACCGGAGGTAGAAGAGAGAAGCAGTATGAAGCGCCGTGTTCAGATCGAACCGCTTTGCCATCCTTCATCTGGGTTGGGCCCAGGGTTTTAAGTCCATGGGAAATGGGTTTTTGGGGGGATGAGGGGAACTTCAGTCATGATGACCCCGTTGTTGCCAGGGAACAAAGGTGAGCTCACCCCAAGTGAACACTGTATGGAGGCCAGCCTCTTCTGCATTGTGCCTGTGAACTCCACTCGGGTGACCACATTTTTAGTTCATTTTTCAGGTGCGTGTGAGCAGGTGGATTTCTTTGTTTTCCAGTTAACAGCTCAGTCTCCAGCGATTGTTGTGTTTATTCTGTCTCTGTCCCAGTGCTAGGCTCCCCTGAGCTTCTCGTGGCCCCCTGCTCGCTCTCCCCAGGAAACAGCATTTGTCAGTGGGACTGTCCACAGAGCGTTCTTTTCTTCTTTGGCCCTTCCTCACACGTGGACTTGTAGTTACGTCTCTGTGCGCCAGGGTATTCAGTCCATGTTGTGTTAGCGTTATTGGCAGGATGTTCGCAGAACAGGAACAGTTTGATCTGGGCAAGGGCAGACATGACAGAGGAGGAAAAGCATCATGCTAGGAGTTGCGAATTGTGCACATGGCTCCGTCATTCCTTTTCTCTGAGACCTCTGACAGGTCACCTCCCTATGTGTGAGGTGATGTGTTGGGACTAGATGGGCCGCCTCTAATTAAATTAGACCTTCTCTGATCTGACTTTCCACAAGCAGTGGCCAGAGGATCAAAGCACTATCTGCACTACAGTGTTGGGAAAGGGTCCGGAGGATTGTGTTGCGTGGTGGGGTCTTCACTCTAATACAAGGAAGGGCTGACCGTGAGCTTAGTGTTCTCTGTAATCTCAGTTGATAGGTGGGGTAGTTTTCCTGTAACTAGCATGATCATTTCCTCCGACTGCATCCAGCTACCTCAAGGACACGCTACCTCCCTCCTGGCCCTCGAGCGTGGAGTGCTGGAGTCAGGAGGATTTGGTTTGCTGGAACTCAAGAGTACCCTGGACTAGCCCAGAGTGGGAGGGAGGAGGAGGCCTGGTTCTCCGGGTCGCATGTGGTGACAGCTGTGTTCTGCCTTCGTCCTCAGGTGCGCGATGGCAGGCTCTGGTGAGCGCAAAAGCAAGAAAGATGACAATGGCATCGGGACGGCCATCGATTTTGTGCTCTCCAACGCCCGGCTGGTGCTGGGGGTGGGAGGAGCAGCCATGCTTGGCATCGCTACGCTAGCAGTTAAGCGGGTAAGTGCACTCAGCCCAGGCCAGGCATTAGAGAGCTGGTGAGGCTGCCAAGTGGAGCTGATCTAGAATTAATACCTTGATACTGCTAATGGGAATGTAACGTGGCAATTTGACATTATTAGAGGAGACCTTAAGAGAATTAAGTAAATGTGCTTCTAGGATTTGTAAATACAAAGAAAGAAGTTTATCCCAGGGTTAAATTGCAAATAACCAAAATAGCCTTCTGTGACCACCTTACTTAAAATAGCACCCTCACCACACATATATTTCCTATTTCCCTTTCCTGCTTTACTCTTAACACCTGTATTGCATGCTTTAGCTTGTTGATTATGTATTGCTTAAATCCCTGTACTGAACTGCAGACTCCACGAGGGCAGGAATTGGGTCAGAAAACTGCTTTATTTTGTGTACCTAGAACAGTGCCTGGCACAGAGTAGCCATTCAGTGATGTGTAAATAAATGGATCGGTGTTTGACATTACGGTGCATTGATAAGGTACAGTGTTGTATCATCAGAAATTGTACCATATTGTTCAACCCTGATTCATTCTCAGTGATATGGGGAGTGATTAAAATGACAAGTAAAAAATCAATTTTTCAAGGTATATATAGAGGAAGATGCTAATTATATAAATACATATTTCTAGAAAGAAATGTACCAAAGTATTAATAGTTATCTTCTGGTGTGACTTCCCTGGTGGCTCAGGCGGTAAAGAGTCCGCCTGCAATGCAGGAGACCTGGGTTCGATCTCTGGGTTGGGAAGATCTGGAGGAGGAAATGGCAACCCCCTCCAGTATTCTTGCCCGGAGAATCCCTTGGACAGAAAAGCCTGGCAGGATACAGTCCATGGGGTCACAAAGAGTCGGACATGACTGAGCGACTAAGCACACAGCACAGCACTTAAGTCTGCCAGACCCTGTCCTGTCCTGAAATGGGTACTGCTGGGCTTGGAAAGGCTGAGCCCCCGAAGCACCGATGGGGCCTGACTCAGATGTCGGCCGCTGCTCGTGGGGTCAGGCTGGTGCTTGTACCCCCAGGACAGAGAGGTGGATAAGCCCAGCAGGGGCACAGGTCTGACCCACATTAGGGAAGCCCTGTGGCCTGGGTAGAGGAGGGGGTGTCCCCGAGTCACCCAGCAGGCTTTTATGAATAGAACTAGGAGAAATTCTGAGTTTTTTTTTCTGGGTTGTGACATTATGAATAAATGTGTTTCTTACTTATTTATATGATTTAGTATTTCCTGAGAGTTTCTGTGTGGAGCAAAGCATTCCATAATATAGAATAAAACGACGTTATTGAAAAGTAGTAGCGGAACTCATTATGGCAGAACTGGTGGGAAGCAGGAAAGAAGTTCCACATGCTGGTCCTCTCTGCTCTTTCAGATGTACGACAGGGCTATCAGCGCCCCCACCAGCCCCACCCGCCTGAGCCATTCAGGGAAAAGGAGCTGGGAGGAACCAAACTGGATGGGCTCTCCCCGACTGCTCAACAAGGACATGAAGGCAGGCCTGAGCAGGTCCCTGCAGGCTCTTCCCACAGGCTCCTCTGCCTTTGACACAGGTGAGGAAGGCTGTTACCCTCTGGGACTCACCTCGGGCTCTCAGTGTTACTCTTGCCCTCAGCACGTTTCTTAAGGACACACGCGCCAGGCGCCATGCTGGCCTTTTGTGCTAAGCCCTTCTTCTCTCTGGGGCTGAGGCGGCTGTGGATGAGCAAGCACGGGATGAGCTCACGGGCCTCTCTCTCTTGCCTTGGCAGATACATTCTGCCCGCCCCGGCCCAAGCCATTGGCCAGGAAGGGCCAGGTAGACTTGAAGAAGTCACGACTCCGCATGTCCCTGCAGGAGAAACTTCTCACTTACTACCGGAACCGGGCGGCCATCCCTGCCGGCGAGCAGGCTCGGGCCAAGCAAGCTGCTGTGGACATATGTGCCGAGCTCCGGAGCTTCCTGCGGGCCAAGTTGCCTGACATGCCACTTCGGGACATGTACCTGAGTGGCAGCCTCTATGATGACCTGCAGGTAACCAGGGGGTGCTTACAAAGGGTAGGGTGGTTCTGACCACGACGCTTCTCAATAGTGCCATTGGGGCAGAAGATCAGTGTCCTTGGCTTGCCAAAAAAGATTAGTCTTACTGCTTCTGAATTCTGCACATTGTGGTAGCATTTGATCCCTGCCTTTAATTCGTTTTCAGTCATAAAACTTCTAGGAAGCTGTTAAGAGGCTTCCTCCTTCCTTATTCTTGTCCCAGTTTCTCCTTCCTGGCTTTCTGTCTTCTGGGATCTTGAAGGCATGGAGGATGTCATATGTACTTCTGGGTCCAGAGACAGTGGGGTGTTTGGAACGAGCACAGGCTCTAATGTCTAACAGACCTGGATTTAAGTCCTCACTCTGAATTGATGTGGTCATGTGCAAGAATTTTTAGTTTCCTTTTTTGCTGGGTGGGGGTGGTGGTGGTGGGGATACAAGATGGTGGGACCTGTGTTTGGGGAAACTTGTCTCTTGAGGAGATGAGGGTCCCTCAAACCCGTTTTAATTTTGCTACAACAGGTGGTGACAGCTGACCACATCCAACTCATCGTGCCCCTCGTGTTGGAGCCAAACCTGTGGTCATGTATCCCCGGGGAGGACACCATCATGAATGTCCCTGGCTTCTTTCTAGTTCGCCGGGAGAACCCAGAGTATTTTCCTCGTGGTAGCAGTTACTGGGACCGCTGTGTAGTAGGGGGCTACCTTTCTCCGAAGACGGTGGCAGACACTTTTGAGAAAGTAGTGGCTGGCTCCATCAACTGGCCAGCCATCGGGTCCCTCTTGGACTATGTGATTCGACCAGCCCCGCCCCCAGAGGCCCTGACTCTGGAAGTGCAGTATGAGCGCGACAAGCACCTCGTCATTGACTTCCTGCCATCAGTGACCCTTGGTGACACTGTCTTGGTGGCCAAACCACACCGGCTAGCTCAGTACGACAACCTGTGGCGGCTGAGCCTGCGTCCTGCTGAGACGGCGCGCCTGCGAGCCCTGGACCAGGCTGACTCGGGCTGCCGCTCCCTGTGCCTCAAGATCCTCAAGGCCATATGCAAGTCCACTCCGGCCCTGGGCCGCCTCACTGCCAGCCAGCTCACCAATGTCATCCTCCACTTGGCCCAGGAGGAGGCTGACTGGTCCCCGGACGTGCTGGCCGACCGCTTCCTGCAGGCCTTGAGGGGGCTCATCAGCCACTTAGAGGCCGGCGTTCTGCCCAGTGTCCTGAACCCTAAGGTGAACTTATTTGCAGAGCTCACCCCTGAGGAAGTAGACGAATTGGGATACACACTCTATTGCTCGTTATCCGAGCCGGAGGTGCTGCTGCAGACGTAGGGCAGGTGAAGGCTGAAGCAGGTGTTGGATGCTCAGGCCCCCGATTCTCCGTTAGAAACACTTGGCTGTGTAGTTGGTGCCTCACAGGGTCCCTGGGTGCCGCCTGTCTTGCCGGTCATCACCCTGGTCACTTCATGCTGATGAGAATGACATATCTGTCTCCTCTTTTCTCACCAACCCTTTCGATTTTTGTCATCAGGTACTATGCTCCCTACTCTTCCCCTCCCCCCTGCTCCAGGCTAATTTTCCTTGAATGAATTGATAAGGTGGAGCCCCGGCCTGAGCTGTGGCGACCACTTGGTATGTTGCATCTTGGCCTAGGTCTGTCGTGTCGGCTGTGCCGCCTGCCCCTTTTTGGTGTCTGCTCTGTCTTTCCCACCTGTTCACATCTTTGTTGCTCTTTTTTTTCCTGGAGCCATCTGCCTAATTAAGATGTTGCCTTGCAGTCGACTGTCACTGAAGTTAGGATTGCACGTTTCAAACTCAACTCTGCAGAGAGTGCTCAGACAGTATTTAGGATTTCCGGGGATAACGCTGGTGGAAAAGCTGGTCTTTGACCCAAGTTCCTGGAAAAAAGAAGCCCACCCCCCACCTCTTGACCAGTTCTTATCCAGAAGGACCGAGAAGGTCTGCTGGGCACACTGTTGGCTGCCGCACATGGAAATGAGGGCTCACGATAAACTGGATACAGAGTTATTCGGAAATTGTGTTTCTTAGTGGCCATCAGTGAGAGTGCAGAGTGGGGGAACCTGGAGGTGGTAGTGGGGTCTGTGTGCATGATGTCTGTGCCTCACCTGGGGATTGTCACACCCGGCACCGCTGCGTGAAGATGTCAGACGCTGCTGTTGGCCCCTCCCTGCTGTATTTCTAATGAGGACAAGGCCTTTAAGAACACAGTCTTAGTGCTTGAGGTTGACAGGCAGCTGAACATTAATGACCACATTCCCTTCAGGCCTGCCTTTCTTGGATATTGCCTTAGAGCAAGAACAGGTCCAACAGCCAGCCCTTCAATCCCTAGTGTGTGCCATAGGAACGTGAGGGAGTGTCTGCCTAACTCTGCAGGCATCGCCAGAGGCCAGAGGGCAGGCAGACATGCACAGACCTCTTTCCTCCATCCTGTCTCTCACCCAGCACCTGGGGAGATCAGTGCTACCCAGGAAGAAAGCACATGGCTAGAACATGAGAGGGAGGTGGGTACTTCCCACATTCCTTCTTGTTTCCTGCTGCTAAAATTGCACTATTTATTGCAATGTAAAAAGTATCTTGAGTGGGGAGGAATATTTAATATACAATGTCAGTGCATCTTGTTTAGTGTTTTTTTTTTTTCCTGTTTGTGACAGGAGGCTGATGATAATTCTATTTCTGATCTGCCCATCCAGTATTTTGTTCTCCCATCAAATCTTTTTATTACTACCTCTCCATCAATGAGATTCTGGTGAAGCTCTCTGCAGCTGTCTCATTCCTTTCCAATGACAGCGACATAAAATGACCCTTTAAATAGCATTGAAACCTTAGCTTCCCTTTGAATTTAAGGTAGAGACTCCTGTCCCCTTTTTTGTCATGGTTTAGTAGGTTGAGCAGTAGGATTAACATTGGCTATATTTAGAGACTTTTCCTGTCTCTTCTCTTACATACATGCAAAGGCTCCCTAAAATGGTTCAGTTGTTTCCTCTGTATCAAGACGTTGAGAGAGAATGAAAAACTGACAGCCCAGAACCCTGAGAGGTTCTCCATCTTGGCTGTTCATCAGAGTCAAACTGGGAGTTTAAAATGCTCTGTATGCCTGAGTACCATCCTGGGTGACTGGTGTAGAGCGTGTGGGGTGGAGCCAAGCACTGATGCACCCATCTGCTGTCATTAGAAGAAAAGAAAAGGTAGGGCTACGAGTGTTTGAAAAGCATTCCTTCTTGTTTTTCTTCATTCAGAGAAGGGATCTGGTTTTCCCATGTGGATATTAGAAAACCTGGAATTTTCCCAAGCAGGTGTCTCTGACCAAATTCTATATAAGACATTGGATGGAGACTCAAAAAACAAAAGACTTTATTTATTTTTTTAAACAAAAGACTTTAAAAGACCAAATCCCAAATCATCTAAGCCAAGTGTAATTGTGATTTGAGTTTATCTCTGAGCATCTTTCTGCAGGCAGCTCTGTCTCTTACCTGTTTTCACAAAACCAAAACGCCTAACTCTGCCATTTCACAAGCAAGAATCTCTTAGCAGTCCTCAGAACTAGAAGCAGTGGGAATTCTTGACTCTAGTCGTGGTGAGTTTGCTGACTGAGATGGGGCAAGTCCCATCATCACATGTGGATGACAGTTCAGTGCTTTGAGATTCTTGGATGAAGGAGGGGACCCCCCTACACACACACTTTTTTTTTTTTCATCTTTGGGGAAAGACATAGGGCCTCTTCCCACCTTTCTATCCTGTAACTCTCACCTTTGCCTGAAGTAACAGCATCTGCTTCTACCCCATTTGGAAATTTTTTGCACCATCTAGGTTAGCAAACCACAGTTAGCCTAATGCTTGAAAAAAGACTCATCATCTCAAAAACCCAATCAATTCCAAAGTGTATTTTGGTTTTCCCTGTTGCCCCTTCCTAAAACATGAGTTCAATACAAAGTACTTTATACTCTTGGTTGTGACCTTTTGTTTTCCCAAATAAAAAAATAACTGAAGCTCATGTTTGGAAAAATTGTTGTGAGACCTATAATCTTTCCTCCTGGGCTCAGCCCCTGTGGTCCTCCTGTTCATATTCTTGATTGGCTGGTTTTGCTCCCTGGTACTTCACTCAAGTTGAGAACGCAAGTGGTTTTGGTGAGGAATCAGCTTTGGGATCAAGAGGCCCTGGAGAGGGTTGGGGGTGGGGTTGTGTGAGCAGGGATCCCTGCCATGTGTCCGGAGGCTCTTCCGTGGCAATCTTTGAGACTATGACCCTGGCCGAGAACTGCTCTCACAGGACGCGTTAGAATCCTGACCTTTGAGCCGAAGCTTAAAGCCAAAGAGACTGGTAAGAGGACGTAGGACTAGAGTTGTGAGGCTGCAGCCCTTGTAGATACACTTAGCTGATTCGAAGAGGCCAAAATACCAGAGGTGTGTGTTCTGGGGTTAACTGTATACAGTGTGTTGTTTACCTTTTCATCACAGTCACCTCATGCTCTCTATTCTTCACCCCTGAGGCCAAGTTCACAACCTGCCTTCCAGTCATCTGCCTGCCCTTCAATAAGAGGTTAATATGTCTGGCAGATAGGTTTGGAACCCATCACCAGTCTTTTCTGTCCTGTCTCGGCTAGGTCCCGAGAGAAGCAGTTTTGCCCTGAGACCCAGACAACTATCATCCTTTTTCTCCTTGAGGGAGGAAATAAAGCTGGGGAATGTGCTGTCTACAGCATGGGAAAACGAAAATAAAAAGTTTCCAACAGCTTTGGCTTGTGTGTGTGGTATGAAACATTTTCCTAAAGGAGTGGGATTGGTTTTCCATTTGCAGGTAGGAGAAACTTTGAACTGGGTTACCATAAAGGAGAGGATGGGACGACCTGACACTGGAGTCATTCTCCCACCCCTGCAGTGGGATCACTTTAATTCTCAGCCGTCGATAAGGTCATTTGTCAAGAAGCACTGACAGTTCCCTCCATACAAAAAATGGAGGACATTTCCCCCAGGGTCCTTGGTTACACCTTTGGAAGACTTCAGTGGCTCAGGGGTTCTGTCTTTGCTCAGAAAGACTAGATGCCTTATGTATGTCCAGATACTTGTGATTCCCCAAGGGGAAAGAAAAACCGCATCTAGTATGCTTTGCCTATACCAGTTGTTCATAGTTGTTGATTTCATCTCTGTGAATAATAGTCCTCTGAGGAAGCAGGAGATGGAGATGGCTAGATGGCATCACCAACTCTATGGACATGAGTGAGTAAACAACGGGAGTTAGTGATGGACAGGGAGGCCTGGCGTGCTGCCATTCATGGGGTGGCAAAGAGTCATACATGACTGAGCGACTGAACTGAACTGAGGAAGCAGAATGATGTAATGGAGATGGGGACAGGGGACCTGGGAGGTTCAGAAGACCTCAGTTCTAATCATAGTAGTAATAGGAACTATTTATCCAGCACTTATCAGATACCAGGAGCTTTGGCTCAGTGCTTGCACGTATTCTCTGACTTCATTCTAAGCATACTCATCATGAGCCTCATCTTACAGACCAGGAAGCTGAGATTCAGCAAGGGTAACTCACTCAACCAAAACGTCTCCACTAATAAACAGACTAGCCATATTTGGGGATATTTGCCCCTAAAAATCTCTCAACTACCTCATACTGCCTCCACGGGGCAAGAACACTTCATCCCTTTAGTCCTCAGTTTATCACTGAAAAGAAATTGTTAGGCTAGACTGAATCAAGTCAATGAATGGTCAGTAGTCACGGAGGACAGTGCTCCCCCAATTTTTCATATCACAGTCCTCAAAAGAGTAATAAATGTAGAGCCCACTTAAGTGGATGGAAGCAAAAACTCAAGGGTTCCACCTCTACAGGGCCAGACAAGGGGGTTGAGAGGTGGTGGAGGGCTTTCTCACCACTTAACAGTTCCCTAGTAGAGACTGCAAGTTGCAGATCCCGACGTGGACGGCGTCTTCCAAACACAAACTACTGCAATTGGGCATTAGGAGGACTTGCTGGGAAGCGATTGTGCCTAGTAGTTACAACGGAGGGAGATAAATGAAACTACCCGAGACAGCAGCTTAGTAAAATCTCTCCTTGTTCTTAGCGGAACTGAACCTACATAAACCGAAAGAAATCCCCCCTGTAACAGAATAGTAGATTTATATTTTAGCAAAATGGATTATGTAAAAATACATTGGGCTGTAGGATTATGCATCTCCTAGACTTTTATAGTCAAGAGTAGGGACGCGGCGCTGGCCTTTGATGGTAGGTGGGTACAGATGAAGCGATTCGACTGACGTCATCAGCCAACCTTTTCAATTATTGAAGGGCTTGCAGTCCTCAGTATTTTCCAAGTGTCTGCATGAAAACGACACTCTGTGAAAACGCACACACGAAGTGACACTTCCTTCTGCCTAGTTTTGTCTTCGGGCCTGAAACTGGTCGCTAGTTAGGGGCTTCACTGAGAGCGGCAGGAAAGGACTGCAAGGCCGGGACCTAGCGCCATTATTTGGGACGCACTAGGCGACGGCTGCCCCAGGCAATCATTACCGGCTCCGGGCGGACCGGCTTGAGAAAAACAATTCAAACCCTTACATTACCACAGAAAAAAGCGAGTGGGCGACAGAGCCAGACGGCGGGAACCTCACCAGCCGCTCCGCCCCTTCCCGCGCAGATCAGGGGCTTGAGCCAATAGAAATTGGAGATATATATGACTCACCGTGCCTGACCAATCATCTCGACGCGCTCTCTCCTCGACTATCTCGCGCGAGAACCAGGAGACCGTCTACTTCACAATAAAAACCTTTCTTGGGGTGAAAGACTTCTTTCTCCGCCCCTCGGACCAAAACCGGAAGTGAGTGTATGGATCCCTCCGCGCTCTCTGGTGGCGGCCTGGAGTTACTCTTTGATCTTAAAAGCCTTGTAAAGAAGTGCACTTTTTTCCTGAAGCTGTAAATAAAAAAAACAACTCATTCCTCTTTCACTTGTCCCTAGACATAAAAGTTGTAGATTTGGAAACGGTTGGGGCGTCGGATAGATGATAATACGTGGGCGGGAGGCGCGAGTCACGTGACGGCGGCGGAAGGATGTGGCCTGTGATGCGTCCTCACAGAGGCAGAGTCTATAAAGGATCCGCGCTCGGCTACTGCCGCCATTTTTCTTCCTCCCGCCTATAGATGTAGTTCCTCCGGGCAAGTGCGCACCGTCTTTCCTCCCGCTCCCCGCAGGGTCCGCGGCCACCATGGCGCATTAGAGGCAGCAGTGCCTGCGGCAGCATTGGCCTTTGCAGCGGCGGCAGCAGCACCAGGCTCTGCAGCGGCAACCCCCCAGCGGCTTAAGCCATGGCGTAAGTACCAGGGAGGAGCCGCTCGGCTGGGCGCCCCCGGGTCAGTGAGGGGTTTTTCGCCTGCTTGGGTGCGGCCGACGGCCTGGCGGCGTCGCGGAGGGGGAAGCGGTTTTACGAGCGCCTAGGACGCGTGACTCCTGCTTGGGTGTCCCCGAAACGCCGGCGCCCTTGTGTCGGGAGACAGCGGCGTTTTGCCTCGGAGCGAAGCCCTGGTCGGCCCCGGGCTCCCCGGAACCCACCGGAGTCCCACCTGGCGTCCCGCGAAACGTGGCAGCAAAGATGGCGGCGGGGCAGGGCGGCTGCCGTGGCTTGAGTCGGAGGGGCGTGGGCGGGGCCGGGCGGCTCGGGCCGGATTTGTACGCGAGGGTGGGGCGACTTCCTCTTGAGGCCGGTAGGGAAGGGCTGGGCGTCCATCTTATGCGGCCTAACGTTAAGGGTGACACCATGGCCTTGGGGCCACGTGGTCCCTATTTTCAACACGGAGTGGAGTTCTGATTTGGCTATCCTGCCTAATGGGTGAGAAGATGAAGTTCTCGGACCAGCTGATTTCTAATGGGACTCGGTTTCTAATTGCTATCCAGGCTTTTCACGGCATTCAGCAGCAGCCTTGCTGTAATCGACAAAGACACCTTCGAATTAAGCACATTCCTCGAATTAAGCACCAAAAGCTCGCAACATGGCCGAGATGAGCTTCCTGAGCAGCGAGGTGTTCGTGAGGGACTTCGTGTCCCCCTTCGACCCGTCGGGTTTGGGGGCTGAAGAGAGCTTAGGTCTCCTAGATGACTACCTGGAGGTGGCCAAGCACTTCAAACCTCATGGGTTCTCCTGCGACAAGGCTAAGGCAGGCTCCTCCGAATGGCTGGCTGTGGATGGGTTGGTCAGTTTCTCAGACAACAGCAAGGGTAAGAGGGATTTTTTTTTATTTCTTTGTGGGATCTGGTGATAGGGGCTCCTACATTTGATTCACGTTTCTTCTAATTTTTTATGTTTTCTAGAGGATGCTTTCTCCGGGACAGATTGGATGGTGGAGAAAATGGATTTGAAGGAGTTTGATTTTAATGATACCCTGTTGAGTATGGATGACCTGGAAACCATGCCAGATGAGCTCTTGGCCACGTTGGATGACACGTGTGATCTCTTTGATCCCCTACTCCAGGAGACTAACAAGGAGCCCCCCCAGATAGTGAACCCAATTGGCCATCTTCCAGAAAGTTTACCAACAATTGACCAGGGTGCCCCCTTCACTTTCTTACAACCTCTTCCCCCTTCCCCAGGGGCCCTTTCTTCCACTCCAGATCATTCCTTTAGTTTAGAGCTGTGCAGTGAAGTGGTTATCTCTGAAGGAGATAGCAAGCCAGATTCCACCACTTGCAGTACTGTGATCCCTCAGAGCATAAAGGAGGAGGATGCCCCCTCAGATAATGACAGTGGCATCTGTATGAGCCCCGACTCCTCGCTGGGCTCTCCCCAGCATAGCCCCTCCACCTCCAGGGGCTCTCCAAATAAGAGCCTGCTATCTCCAGGTGCCCTCGGTGGCTCTTCCCGCCACAAACCCTACGACCCTCCTGGAGAGAAGATGGTAGCAGCAAAAGTAAAGGGTGAGAAGCTAGACAAGAAGCTGAAGAAAATGGAGCAGAACAAGACAGCAGCCACTAGGTACCGCCAGAAGAAGAGGGCAGAACAGGAGGCTCTCACTGGTGAATGTAAAGAGCTAGAAAAGAAGAATGAGGCTCTGAAAGAGAAGGCAGATTCCTTGGCCAAGGAGATCCAGTATCTTAAAGATCTGATAGAAGAGGTTCGCAAGGCAAGGGAGAAGAAAAGGGTCCCCTAGTTAGGGTAGTCAGGAGTATGTGCGCTTGTATATAGGAGGCTGAAGCTGTGTTTTAATAAATTATTTTGTAGTGAAAGTACTACTACACAGTCTGGTATGTTGCCTCTGGTAAGTGTCCTAATGAGTCCCCCCAAAGTCTCAATTGCTGTGGGATTGGTGGTTAGTACTTAAATGCACAGTGAGATTATTTTTTTCCTGACACTGTTGGGCCACAGGTGGAAGATTTTTTAATAACTGCTGTGCTGGGTCTTATCCCTGAGTAGGGATGGAGCCTGGACCCTCTGCATTGGGAGCAGGAGTTGTAACCTCTGGAACACCAGGGAAGCCCCAGGATGACTGATGTGGTTGGACCTGAGACATTTGAGTTGGTTTACATCCCTCCAGTAGTAGGTCGTTGGGTTTTCTGCTGAAAACCAAGAACTGTTAGACTTGATGCTACTACCACCCTTCGGTGTGAGGCTGCGGAATTAGCCCAAGAAACAGGGTGGGAGGAAAAGCCTGGACTCCTGTTGTCTTTGTGCCAGTATTAAATACAGAGGCTTCTAATGTTTTACAGGCCTTTTCCCATAAGGGTCTGTTGAGAGAGAGCTAGCTCTAAAGGGCTGAAACAGATGAGTGAGGTCAGCAGGCTGGCTGGTTCTCAGGCTCCCTTCTGGCACCTCGGCCAGCTAGCTAGAAGGCCTGCTATCCGTGGGTGGGGGGTTGGGGAAGAGTCGGGATGGAAGGGCACTGGCACCACACTGCTCTTAAAACCCTGGCCGGTAACGTACTAATTACAATATTGTAGTGGTTTCTGCCATACATTGACAAGAATCAGCCATGGATTTACTTGTGTTCCCCATCATGAACCCCCCTCCCACCGGTGACATCTTAAAAGTAGGATATGGCAGACATGTTCTTTGGTGGGATTGAGACAATCCCAGCCTGGGTAGGTTTCTTTAGTCCTTTGGGGCCTGTGGAGGGGAGATGAGTGTTCCATGGTGAAGAACAATGTAGAGTAGTGGGTCACAAGGGTTATGTGAATGTGGCACCAGGCACTGTTCTAGACACAGTGCCCATCGTGACCCGTGTCCTACAGCAGGGGGTACTTGGGAGTGGTAGGGCCAGCCATTTGAACCCAGGGCTGGGCTGCTTGGTGCTGACCTAGGTGGGAATTTTTCTCCAGGGAACCAAGGGTGTATGTGGCCTTGGTGATTTTCGAGGTCTTTACCTGAGGACAGGAAAAGTTGTGGACACAACGGGCAGAGCACTTGAGAAAGCAGCTCAGGCCAAGCCTTGGAGGTGGGGATGAAACCCCAAGAAATAAACTCGCAAGAGGACTGCCCCACCCCAGCTCTGCTAGAGGAAGTCACTGAAGATGGCCCACCCAACTCCTGCATAAACTTGTTACACCTCCCACCCACGTGCCCATGTGGCTGTCTTGCTAGGGCTTCAGCCAGCCCCTCCACTCATGGAGACCCAGGGCAGTGGATGGCTGGAGCAGCCCACCCCATGTGGAAGCCACAGGAAGCCTTGGCTGGGGCTCTGCTGGTTACTGAAGGGTCTCCAGGCAAATGTGCCAGCTGCTCTAAACCATCAGTCATGTTTCCAGGTACTTCACAGCCACTCAGAACTGGTCTTTTCTAGCCTTGGCCTCAATATGGCAACCTAGTGTCCTCTTGGCTCCTGAGCCTTCCTTTCCCATCAGATCTGTCAGTTGCATCCTTGTTAGGAAAGAGGGCCTGATCAGCCTGTTTTTCAGGGAACAAGAGGCAGTGAGCAGCTGAGCCTGCTTCTTGCCAAGCTACTTAGAAAGGACACCCAGCGTCCTCTCCTTGCAGGGGCGGACGGTGGAGAGCTCAGGGCATCACCCGCCTCACCCTTCTTGGACAGGCCCATCTGGGGACACTGGCACAATACCGCTTTGAAGTCTCAGCTCCTGTCCTCCCACCTTGACTTCCTGGAAGGCCGGCCAGCTTTCTACTCAGATGGCGGCCACCTGCAGACAGGAAGGATTCCAAATTGGACTCAGGCAGGTCTGTGGTCCCTGTGTGTCCCCACTGAGGATGGAAAGCTGGCTAATAACCAGGGAAAGTGCTCCCCATCCCAGGATGGGTGTGTAAGGGGCAAAACCCTCTCCTGCACTAAAGAACCTATGGTGGGATGGGCCAACTCGCTTCCCAGCCACGGGGCCCTTTGGAAGTTCTTGCCAGACAGTGCATGTCCCACGGAGCTTTTTAGGCATGGGTGAGTGGGGGCCTTACAAGAGCCAGACTAGCAGCCTGAAGGCCCCCAGGGCCCTTTCTTCACAAGGCCCCCAACCTGTGCCCAGAAGAACTCCTGGGGCTTCCAGGACTTGTCAATACCACACTGAAGACCAAGCAGGGCAGCACTGCTCACCCACTCAGGCATTCTGCTCAGCAGTGCCGGCGCCCCCCAGACACGGCCCAGCCTCCACCTTCCCCCTCACCTTGCTAGCTCCCACCTCATGTGACGGGGTAAGGGGAAAAAAGTGGCCTTTGATGTGTCCCCCCACCACGTGTGCCCGCGCCCTGGGCACTGGCCTGAGGCAGCAGTGATCTCTCCCTCAGACCCTGGTGTTGGCTTCCCTGGAATGAGCCCACAGCAGCTGTGGGTGCTATTTTTGCCTCAAGAGCTGCCTTCTCAGCTGTGGCTGCCCTCCAGGGGGAGGAGGCCAGTGGAGGCTGGCGCCTGCACTGGGGCTGAGCCCAAGGACTTCTCACCTGGAGCCTAAGAAGCAGCTGGAGGGGGAGTGGGGTGGACGCTCCTTGGTACCAGGGGAGACGATGGGAGACACCCTGTTTGAGCAGTACACAGCCCGGGGGCCACATTTATTAGAACCCGGAAGCCCACCCAATGGCCCTCCTCCTGTCGGGAGGTGTGGTCCCCAAGGGCCCAGTGACCGGCCTCTCCCCAGCAAACAGTCCAGAGGCCCTCCCTGGGGCAAAGCAAACAGAACAGCGGGAAGCGTTCCTTTCTGGCAGGCAGGTGGCACCTCCTGAGCCTGGAAATGTCAGCTCAGTCTGAGCTGAAGGCCCTCCTGTGGGCTTCCAGCTCGCCAGCTCCCCCAGGAGTTCCCCACGCCGGGCTGAGAGGTCAGAGGAGGCTGTGCCCCCCTGGGAGCCTAGCTGCCGAAGTATTCCTGCTGGAACTTCTGGAAGTCTTCCTCGGTGAACACGGTGCTCTCGGCCTTCTTCTTCTTCTTGGTCTTGGTCACAGGCCGGTCACAGGCCTTGCGGCCTCGGTTCTGGCGCACAATCTGGGGGCATGTGGGTGTCAGGAGCCCTGGGTGGTGACTCAGCCACCTGGAGCCTCACAGCCTGGCGCAGCCACCCAAGGGCCGCCCTCTCCCCCGGCCCTCTCCGCGTCTCGGGAGGGGGAGGGCACATCGTTTCCGTTGACAGAAGAGCCAACCGAGGCCCAGAGGGGCCGCAGGGGAGTGAGGCCGGGCTCCCTCCTCCCCGCTCAGCTGTCAGCCCTCTGAGGAGGCCCCTCACTGCACAGCAGCGCGTCGAGCTCTCAGGAGCCTGGAGGGGGACCCACCCCGATCATAGCCTCAGGGCTGAGACTCCCACGGATCCCCGGGACAGCCTCAGCTTTCACCCCCACTTCCCACAGCCCACCCCCCTGACGAACCTGCCGGGTGATGGATTCGTCCACTGTGCTTCTTGCACTGGTCATAAACCTCAGGTTTACTCCAAGGTAACCTCGACGCTCTCTCTTCCGGAACTCAGCTGTGGAGGCAGAGAGGGTGGTTTCATTCCAGATTCACTCCCTGGAAGCCCCCTGGGTCCCCTTCTGACGTCTCCCCACTCCACCCCCGCCCCCCCAGCCCTGCCGAAGGCCCCATGGTCCATTCCCCATGTCACTGCAACAGTCTGGCCTCTTCTGTCAAAACCACACTCCACACAGACCCCGCTCAAAGTCCCCCTTGGTTCCAGCTGCTCAAGTGATTTATTCAACAAATGTGTCCTGGGCATTTACTGTGTCAGGCACTGTTCCAGGTACAAGAGCACAGAGCCGGAAACAGAACAGACCAAAAGTCCTGCCCTCATGGAACTTCCATTCTGAAGGAAGAGATGGTAAACAAGGCAAACATTATTTTAGAGGGTGAACGTTTTATTGAGAAAAAGAGAACGGTAAACAGAAATGAGAAATGTGGGGGATGGGGGGAAGGTGGCAAGTCTAAATAAATAAGCTTTGAGAAGAGCTGAAATTCACTGAAAGGAATTCTGAGCAAAGACTGGCGGAAGAGCATTCTGGAGAGACGTAACAGTCAGTCAAAGGCTCTGAGGCAGAAGTGTGACTTATATGCTTGAAGGATGGGGAGGGGAGAACCTGAGGGGACGAAGCTGGAGGGGGCAGATTATGGGGAGCCTCAGCAGGCATGGAGGCATGGCAAGAACTCAGGCTCTCACCGAGGCTGATGGGAGTCCCTGGAGGGTGCGAGGCAAGGTAGAGACAGGTCTGACCTAGGATTTTACAGCATCACTTCAGCTGCTGTGGTGAGAAACAGATGAGGGGAGGCGGAAGGAGGAGACCAATTAGGAGGTTTTTGTAATAATCCAGGCAAGAGACAGTGTAGCTCAGACCAAGGTGGCAGCCACAGAGGAGTCCTTTAGGTTGGCCCTGAGAGTCCCCTCACTCATGTGCCATGGCAGGGGGGTGGGGTGGGTGGGGATGGAGGGTGTTGCCTGCTCCACCCTGGCATCACTGTGGCTCACTTCCCTGCTTTCACACTTGCTCCTGTTGTTTTTCCTCCCCGAGATTCATAGTTCTTTTAACAAATACTTGAACACCTTTATATTGCACCAGGCCCTGGGGATTTGAGGCTTCTCTTGTGGCTCAAGACAGTAAAGAATCTGCCTGAAATGTGGGAGACCTGGGCTTGATCCCTGGGTTGGGAAGATCCCCTAGAAGAGGAAATGGCAGCCCACTCCAGTATTCTTGACTGGAAAATCTCAAGGACACAGGAGCCTGACGGGCTACAGTCCATGGGGTTGCCAAAAGAGTCAGACACAACTGAGCAACTAACACTGGGGATCTGAAGACACACTAGGAGCTTACCGAGTTCTGCCACAGGTCAAACCATCAAACACCCCACCATCCTGCCCACACCTGTCCCTCTTCAAGTCTGTACATCTCATTAAGTGGCACCAAATCCCTCAAGATGCTCGGTTCTCGCCGACTCCCTCTTCCTCCATCCTCACAGCTAATCCACCACTGACACCATCAACACAGCTTCCACCTGCAGGACTCTCTTCTTGACTGCACTGTCACCACTGCTCAGGCCACAGCTCCTTCTACTTGAAGGAATAGGTGGGAGCAGGGCTCTGGAGACACATTGCCTGGTTTCCACCTGTACCATCTGGGCAGGGGTCTGTTTCTGCATCTGTGCAATGGGGGTAATGACTGCGCCGACCTCACAGGGTTGGGAGAACAAATGAGCAAACATTTGTCAGAGGTTTAGAAGAGCACCCGGAGGGTTAACTTGCATTAAACGCTGTCTCTGACCCTCGTTTACTATATGTCACCTCGACCAGGCTTCTTTCTTTCAACATTTCAAAGATTAATAATAAACTTGTGATTCCACATATGCCAAGAGTATACTTACCCCAGCTCATTCTTCGACTTCCATCAGGTCTGTGCTTAAATGTCGCTTCCTCAGAGAAGTCTTTATTCTAAGTCCCTTTCAAAGTACCCTAGTTTTACAGCTGGAGAAGGCAATGGCAACCCACTCCAGTACTCTTGCCTGGAAAATCCCATGGACGGAGGAGCCTGGTAGGCTGTAGTCCATGGTGTAGCTAAGAGTCGGACACGATTGAGCGACTTCACTTTCACTTTTCACTCTCATGCATTGGAGAAGGAAATGGCAACCCACTCCAGTTTCTGGCCTGGAGAATCCCAGGGACTGCGGGGCCTGGTGGGCTGCCGTCTATGGGGTCGCACAGAGTCGGACACGACTTTAGTGACTTAGCAGCAGCAGCAGTTTTACAGCACAAACCTCATCACAGCGACCCAACCATAGGCTGATTTTGAAACTCCTCAGTGCTCTCTCCCCACTAGGACTGTAGACCTTGAGGGTCGGGACGATGTGATTCGTTCATCTCCGTGTTCCCAGGACCCCGCTCCGGGCCCGTCGCACCGCAGGTATTCTAGAAATGCCTGGGGAGCATTTGAAGCCCTGACTCCAGCGCCAGTTCCTCTAGGGCACCGCCCCCGGCCCTCGGGAGCAGCGCGTTCAGCCCCTTCCCAAGCTCACCTAGCGCCGACTTGGGCACCCTTCCCTTGGCGGAGTTCCGCAGTTTCTGTGCCTGGGTCGCCTTCGCCTTCCGGGTCCGCTTCGTCGGAGCTTGGCTTGGTTTGGTGTGTCCCGGAGCGGCTCCGGGGGCTGTAAAGAACGGACTCGGGTCGGAGGGCGCTCAGGGTTCCCATCCCACCGAGGCTAAGACTGGTTTGGATCGTTCGGCACCCTCGGGGCTGCTGCCCCCAGCCCCTGCCACCTTCCCGCCCGGCCGAACGTCCTCGGGGAGAGCCTCACCCTCAGGAGCCCCCAACAGCTCCAAGCCTCGCCGCAGCAAGGCGGCCGACATGGCTGCGCTTAATCCCGCCCACACGTCTCAACTACTTCCGCCGTTGGCTCCCTTGGTGGTTTCCGCGGAGACCTGAGCTAGAACCAAAAGTTTCACTGTGAGAGGACGGAAATACCCGCCTTCCTTAGAACGCCTGAGTGAGGTAATCGGAGGGAAGGGGGCGGGATCTGGAGGCGGGGCCAAAGCGCCGAAGGAGGCATTTGTCGTCCAATCGCAACCCAATCAACCCTTTGAGAGACAGGCGGCACCTTCTTCCGGAAGCCGTGCGCCAGTAGCCCAGCCTGGCAGGTAAAGCCTCTCGGGTCTGGCCCTTGCGTAGTGGGCAAGGCCGGGGCAGGGGCGGAGTATTAGTGTTCTCAATTTTTACGAAAAAGGAGAATATATTTTTGGAAGTATTTTTTACATATTCTTCAACCAGAGCAACGTATAGTTCGGCATGAGAATCCAGCTGTCTTGCATTAAATCAGACATTAAAAATATTTGCAAAAACTCCAAACAGTATCAGTGTTTTTTTTTTTTTTTACTATTTTGTTTGGTTTTGGAAAAGACAACCATTTTCGTTAAAATGTGTCAGTTACATTAACATGTGAGTTTGTTACTGTTATTTTAAATTAATAGACATTTAAAAATGTATCTGTTTTAGTTTCTAACGTGGCGATTCTCATTCAGTTCAGTTCAGTCGCTCAGTCGTGTCTGACTCTCTGCGACCCCATGAATCGCAGCACGCCAGGCCTCCTTGTCCATCAACAACTCCCAGAGTTTACTCAAACTCATGTTCATCCAGTCGGTGATGCCATCCAGCCATCTCATCCTCTGTCGTCCCAAAAGCTCTTTGGGATCCTGAAGTTTTTTAAGAGGGAAGAGGTTCTTGGGCTGCGCAGGTGGCTCAGTGGTAAATAATCTGTCTGCCAGTACAGGATTCACAGGAGCCATGGGTTCGATCCCAGAGTCTGCAAAATCCCTTGGAGGAGGAAATAGTATTCCACTCCGGTATTCTTGCATTGGAGAATCCTATGGGCAGAGGAGCCTGGCAGGCTACAGGCTATGGGGTTGCAAAGAGTTGGACACGACTGAGCGCCCAAGCAAAGAGTTTCTTAGATAAAATATTGATAGTTTGAGAAATTCTGGCTTAGAAATTAGTACTCTTCTTGCTGTGGGGAGTAACCCTGTCTTGTTCACTGCTCCATCTGAGCTCCTAGCCTGGCATTCAGAAGACACTCAATAAGTGAGTGGCGAATGAATTCGCAGTACAAACATGTTCTGAGGGCCTTTTGTATACTAGACTCTATAGAGTGTAGGACGTGGAGGTGATTCAGTTGCTCCTATGTGAATGAACCTTACTAACCTCCACCAGCTAGTCCAGAAGGGAGAGAAAAACCTAAACAAACAATAACAACAAACACTTCTTCGAGGTGCTGTTTTCAGTGTTTAACATTTGTTGACTTACTTATACCACCCCCCTCGCTCTGAAGTAGAAACCACTGTTTCCCCCATTTTACAAATGGCCCAGAGGGGCCAAGGAACCTATCCAGGTCACACAGGTGGTGTCAGAGCTGGGACTAAAGAAAGACCATCGGGCCGGAGCATTTATGCATTGCTGGCCTATGCCAGCTACCCAGGATGCGGTGTGTGTCAGGAGGTCTCTGCAGAAGAGCTGGCCGTGTGGGAGGAGAGTGTCCAGAGCAGGAGGCCCCTGTAGTGGGGGCATGTCCCTTGGGACAGGTGTGGCCCTGGAGGAGCAAAGGGCTGAGTGATTTCATTGGCATCAGGGCCACAGATTTGCCCTGAGGGCTTGGCGGGGGGGGGGGGGGGTGTCCCACATCCCAGTGATGTTATCAGACAGGCTCTTTTTTCCTGCTTCTGAAATGGCCAGATTTTCTTATTTCTGTTACTATATATTCATTGGAAGGACTGATGTTGAAGCTGAAGCTCCAATACGTTGGCCACCTGACGCGAAGAACTGACTCAATGGAAAAGACCCCGATGCTGGGAAAGATTGAAGGCGGGAGGAGAAGGGGATGACAGAGGATGAGATGGTTGGATGGCATCATGGGTGCGATGGACATGGGTTTGAGTAAGCTCCGGGGGCTGGTGATGGACAGGGAAGCCTGGTGTCCATGGGGTCGCAAAGAGTCAGACACGACTGAGCGACCAAACTGAACTGATACATTCATGTAGTGTTTATTGAATGTTTCCCCACCCATTCCTCAGTATAAACTCTATAAAGGCAGGCATCTTTCTTTATTCACTATTACATCAAGCGCCTGGAACAGAGTCTGGCATTTTGTAAGGGTTCCATAAACGTGCAAATCAGAGAGAGGAAGGCAGAGATGTCCAGGTCCACTCATCGTGGAATGAATGAGTCTGCCTTTCAGGAGGACAAAGGACAAAGCTCGACCGCACCCCCTTTCTCCTCCCAACGTGGGATGGATGGTCAGCACACGGTTGCCGGCGTGGAGGGATTTTTTGTCTCCTTATGTCCCGAACAAGGAGTGGATTCCTGCAGCGTCTTTGCCGGCCTCTGGAAGTGACAAGCGGCCGCTCCGGCCACTAGGTGGCGCCGCAGGACCACTTTCTCTCATCGCGCGGCTCTGCATCCGGTTTGCCGCGGTCCAGGCTAGGGTCAGAGCGTGGGGTGGGGACATGCCTCGGAGTCGGCTGGCTCTTTGTGGTCAGCCCTGCCCCGCGCCCTTCCAAGACTGAGTGGGGAAGCGGAGGCAGAGCCACCAGGCTGGGACAGCCCAGCGGGGAGATAAGGCTTTCTTATGGAAAGGTGTGCAAATGACAACAGGGCATTCACCCACTCCCTTAACAGACAGTGCCTCAGTTTCCTCATCTGTTAAATGGGGCTTAGCTTCCCGATAAAGTGAGCAGGAGGAGCCAGTAAGTTAATACTGATAAAGCTTGTATTACCCGACTAGGGACTGGGGAGGTAAGCACCCCACGAGGGTTCCTGGTGGATATTACTGCCGGGTCTGCCCCACTCTGACCAAGAACTAAGTGCCTGCAATTGGGCACCTTAGAAGTGCCAGGCCTGTCCTGGTCCGGCTCCAAGAGGGCAGCTCCCTCCTGCTCACTCCCTGCCCTGGGGAGTTGGGAGGGGGGCCGTGAGGTCTCACAGGTGGGTTCCTGTCCTGGCTGCCTGACTTCCAGCTACTTTCCTGCTCTCAGCCTGCTTCCTCCTCTGTCCTCACGGACAGTTCCTCGGTGGAAGTGCTGGGCTCCTGCCTGAATTGAAGTGAAAGTCACTCAGTCGTGCCCAACTCTGCAACCCTATGGACTGTATAGTCCATGTAATTCTCCAGGCCAGAATACTGTAGTGGATAGCCTTTCCCTCCTCCAGGGGCTCTTTCCCTACCCAGGGATTGAACCCAGGTCTCTCGCATTGCGGGCAGATTCTTTACCAGCTGAGCCACCAAGGAAGCCCAGGAATACTGCAATGGAGAGCCTATCTCTTCTCCAGCGAATCTTCCCAACCCAGGAATCGAACTGGGGTCTCCTGCATTGCAGGCGGATTCTTTACCAGCCTGCCCGACCCTTCTCTGGGTGCCCCTCTATGCCTGCTCAGCCCAGGCCCTTAGCTGCACAGAAGAAGCACCCGGGTGATGTGGCCGCCTCCCCAGCCCCTGTTGCACACATGCCGCATCCTAGTCTCCTTCCTGGCAGTTCTGGAGCCAACTTAACCTCACCAGGCCTGGGGTGAGGGAACGTCAAGGCTCAGAGGGAGGTAGGGTCTTCTGCAGAGTCACAGGGTATTTCAAGAGCAGAGGGAGGACTAGGACCCACGACTCTGAGTCCTGATCAAGAGTGTGCATGAGTGTGTGTGTGTGTGTGTGGCCATTTTGAAATTTCTTTCTTTTCTCTCTTTTTATTAAAAAAAAAAATTATTTGACTGTGCTGAGTCTTAGATGTGGCATGTGGGATCTTCAGTTGCAGCAGATCTAGTTTCCACTGTCCAGGAACTGGATGTGGGATCCAGTTCCCTGTCCAGGAGTGAAACCTGGGCCCCCAGCATTGGGAGGAGGGGCTGACCACTGAACCAGCGGGCAAGTCCCTGTGTGGCCTTTCTGAACTATGTGTTGGGGGGCACCTGGGATCTTGTTATTTGCTTTTGCCTCCCCCTCTTTCTGTGAGTCTCTTAATCTCCTCACCTTTATCTCTGACTCTGTCTCTCCATGTCTCTATCCTCTCCTTTTCTCCCTATCTCTGAGTCCTCTCTGTTTCTTCCTCAGTCACTGCACTGTCCCCTCACCCCCACCCTAAGCTCCCAGCCTCTCTCCACCTTCAAACTGAAAACCCAAATGGAATTTCCAGTCGCCTTTTCTGACTGATGCTTGTGCGTCTCCTAGTCCCCGTGTGCCCGGCCCTCTCCCTTCCCCCTGCCGCTTGGCCTCTCTGCCTCCTTCCCTCTCACCTCCTGCTCCTGCCGTCAGTGGCTTTGAAGTGTGTTCACAAGAGCGCTCAAGAGAAAATCCATTTCTCCGCTGTCTGGTTCTAAATGGACGGGACATGGGCTCTTTGCAGCCTCTGGTCGCATCGCCTCCCTCTCAGGGTCTCTGGAGCTTTCTTCTCTGAAAGGTGATGCTCGCGTCTCCTGTCTCATCTCCTCCTGACCAGGCTGTCACCAGGCAGTCACTCCTCAGCAGTCCCCGTGGGGGGGGGGGCACTGTGGGCCGAGGCGGGGGTTGGGAGGCGGGCAGGGCTGGGGCTGATGCAGAGGCTCTGGGCTCTCGGCCCTGTGCCCTTAAGTAGGCTGCCTTCCTTGCACACTTGAGTTTCCTCCTCTGTCAGTTCGGCTTTGAGAAATATTGTCCGGCCCTCCTCCCAGGGCTGGGGGGTAGGGGGGAAGCCCAGAGCTCCTGGCTCCAGGGTCCTGAGGTCTGGAGGGAGCATGGCTTCTGGAGGCAGGCTGTGTAGGGTTGCATTCTGGCTTCTTCATTCACTAGCTGTGTGGCCTTGGGTCAGTCACATAACCTCTCTGTGCCTTGGTTCCCTCATCTGTGTGTTCATTATAATAATGGTCCCTGCCTTCTGGGGTGGCCGTGGGGATTGAGTGCAAAGTGTCAATACTTGGAATAGCACATCGGGTGCAAAGTTTAAGCACTATGTGTTTGAAAATAAAGGACCGCCGTGGGGGCCAGCAGTGTGCCCTGGGACCTCTGTCCACGTCTGTGAGTGTGATCTGAGTGTTCGTGTAGCTGCTGGACCCCCATGCTCTTGTGGCCACACGGGGAGAGTGGTGTTCAAGAGCCTGGAGTCAGCAGGCTTGTGTTCAAATGCAGCCTTTGTCACCCACCAGCTGTGGGGCCTGGGGAGGTCACACGGCCTCTCTGAGCTTCATGGGGGCTCTCGTGGGGGCTGGTGGTGTCTCCCTGCAGGGTCTCTTGGAAGGGGAGGGTGCAATGAGAGGTTACATGGAATGTCCTTGGCACCGGGCTGAGCACTTAATCAACTAGTCAGGCAGGGCAGTGGATTTGGGGTGAAAAGGGGGTCTCTCTAGGCCTGGTGCTGCTCACACACTTCTGTTACATTCTCAGCAAGTGTGAGCCTCTTCTTAAGGGCCTCTGTTTGTGACCTTAGGGTTTGGAGGCTTCAGGGCTCATAGAAAGGTCCTGAAAGCTATGGTACATATATACAATGGAATATTACTTAACCATTAAAAAGAATACATTTGAATCAGTTCTAATGAGATGGATGAAACTGGAGCCCATTATACAGAGTGAAATAAGCCAGAAAGATAAACACCAATACAGTATACTAACACATATATATGGAATTTAGAAAGATGGTAACGATAACTCTATATGCAAGACAGAAAAAGAGACACAGATGTACAGAACAGACTTTTGGACTCTATGGGAGAAGGCGAGGGTGGCATGATCTGAGAGAATAGCATCGAAACATGTATATTATCAAGTGTGAAACAGATAGCCAGTCCGGGTTGGATGCATGAGACAAGTGCTCAGGGCTGGTGCACTGGGATTACCCAGAGGGATGGGATGGGGAGGGAGGTGGGAGGGAGGTTCAGGATGGGGAGCACATGTAAATCCATGGCTGATTCATGCCAATGTATGGCAAAAACCACTACAATATTATAAAGTAATTAGCCTCCAACTAATAAAAATAAATGAAAAATAAAATAAAATAAAATCTTAAAAAAAGAAAAAGAAAGGTCCCAGGGACAGCAGCTCATTGTGGGGAGTCCAGGCAGAGGCAGAGTGGCTTCTTTTCAACTATTTGAAAAGATACAATTGCTGGTGTGACTGATTTTAAGAACTTAATAAAGACACAGGAAAAAGCTGCTAGAAATTCTCCATGGAGCTCTGGGGTCAGATAGTGACTCTTGGTGGGGGTCAAAGATGACATCATTTTTTTTTTTTTTGATGGGGCCATTTTTAAAGTCTTTATTGAATTTGTTACAATACTGCTTTTGTTTTATGTTTTGGGTTTTTGGCCAGGAGGCAAGTAGGAGTGTAGCTCCCCGATCAGGGATCAAACCCAATCCCCTGCACTGGAAGGTGGAGACTGCCAAGAAGCCCCGAAGGTGAGATCTGTTTATGGACTCAGCTCTGACCAGCCAAAGACACTAAGTTGCTGTGTGTCCTTGGCACATCCCTTGGGCTTTGGTTCCCTCTGGGGTGAGATGGAAGGGTCCCCACCACCTCCCCGCCCTACCCTGCCCCAGCCCCACACACCTGCCAGGTTCCCAGGGTCACTGAGACGTTGTGAGATTTCAGGGAGAGGAAAAGTGAGCTTGGAAGAGTCAGGGGAGGACCTGAGGGGCCCTCATCTAGCCAGCACCGCTTCCTCTTGTCAGATGGGGGGGGGGTCTTTAGGCAGTGCAGACTCTGGGGACCTGTCCTCACTGTGAGATTTTGAATAAGTCCCTTCTATGCTCCAGGCTTCAGGCTGCCCTTCTGGGCAGTGGGGACAGACACTAGGAGTCTGGCTGCAAAGTGTCAGGATAGGGTTGGGGGGCGGGGGGGCGAAGGGTGGGGAGTAGAAGGATAGTTCAGGTTCCAAGTGGCCAGGAAGGGTCCCATCCCTTCCAGACTCAGCTTTTTAATTCTAATTACATCTCCATTAAAATGCAAATTTCCACAAACACCCGGAGAGGAGGACTTGTTGTCATGGAAACTGGAATCTGAGGGGTGGGGGAGAGGGGAGCCGGTCTCCATCTCCTGAACTCTCAGTTTGCTTGGAACTGCTCTTCTTCCCTCTCGTGCACCTCTTGGGGGTCTTTCGCCCCAAGGCTGGGTCTTTAGTGGAAGGGAGCTGGGTTACCTTGATGAAGTCATTTCCCTCCTTGGCCTCAGTTTCTCCATCTGTGAACTGGGGATAACACTATAGGCCTCTTTTAAGGATCACCTTGGGGATTCAGTGATTTAATGTACAGGATATCAGAGAGCAGGGTCTCCCCCTGGATGCAGTTCCAGGGTACCTGATGAAGCCGTGGTCTGGACCCTTCCCCACGATGAACCGAGGTGTCTCTTGACCTGGAATTCTAGCTTCTGCTGCATCCTTGAACCAAAATAATGGCATGAGTGATCTTGAAGTCCTGTGTATGTTCAGGTCTTCAGTTGGAGCCACTCTTACACTAATACTGCAGCCTTTGAC